TCTGGCTGCAAAGAGGCCGTAGTCCCAGTTTCTCCCAAAGGATCCCCGCTCTCCAGAGCGGGAAGGTTTCAGTTCTACTGGTGTGGGTGTGAGAGGAGGGGAGGACCCTCTCAGCCCCCTCCACTGAGCTCTCCGTCCCCCGGATCTTAGCAGATTGCAACAGGAGGGTGCGTTCTCACTTCTCGCCTGAGTCCCAGCTGGTTTTCCCTTTGCCAGCAGTAATTTGTCACTGGTTCCTTGGGCGTGAATGCTGGCCGTGGGCACAGGCTCCCAGAAAGCTGGAGACGGCCAGCAGACGTCTCTGCTGCAGTCTCAGACTCCTTCACCCATGTAGCCTGGGGAGCAGATGACAGGGGGATTGGCTTCTGCTTGATGCCCCCTCGATGTTCTCACACCAGTAGGGCAATGGCCTTTCTGCTTGCTTTGTTATCTCATTTTAATCTCTCTGACCTGTAATATTTTGTGTGTAGCTTTGGTTTAATATCTTTCCACAGCCAAACCCTTTTGGTAATGAGAGAGCAGGGCTGGTCCCTCTCGCTTTTTTTAAAAAAAAAAAAAAAAGAAAAATACCATTGGGAGGAAAACAGAAAAGTTACATCCCAGCAAACTGTTCCCATTTCCATCCCATCGACAGAGGAAGCGCCTCCCACCTACACTCACGTTAATTCTGCAGTCAAATGCAGAGCCATGCTCCTGTGTGCACTCCTTTCTCTCTCTCTTTCTCTCTCTCTCGTGTCTCACGCTCACTAAATCACATGCACATGGAGAGAAGGCTTTTAATAATTTAATGTTTCCAAGCTAAATTTTTAAATAGCCTTTTGTGGCCAGCTGGAAAATTGCGTTTGAAATTTGCCCTGTCACCTGGGCCCCGAAATTCTGCTTTTGGGAACGTAAATCTGGTACTAATTCAGGGCTAAATCCTTCGCAGACAGCTTAGCTGGAACATTTTGGGTTCTTTTTTTTTTTTTTTTAAAAAAAAAAAAAAAAAAAGAAACAGGAAAAAAATGTGGGGATTTTTCATTAGTCTTTTATTTATAAATTTCCTCTACCTTTCTGGCCACTCGGAAACTACCCAGGAGACAAAGGTTGTAACCGTGGGGTTGCTTGTCTCCGCACCTGGATCAGGGTGGGCTCCAGGTGGATAGATAGCCCTCTTTCTATCCCCGTTAGCCTGTGTGTGCCTCAGCCTGCCTGAAAAACAGAGCCAGCGTTAGCCGGCCGAGAGAGTGCAGAAAACACCGTGTAAGCAAGCTCGGCCTGTGGTTTGGGTGTTTTTCATGCTGTTTAATTCCTTGTTTCTTGTGTGTTAATATCGTGGAAAGGTAACGAATTTCTGAAATGGATTTGCTTTGGTGGGAGGGAAAGTTCATGCACATTTTTCTTCCCGTTTTTTGTTTTAAAAGAGTCTTGAACACTCTTGTGTTTCCAATTGACTTGTTTCTCCCATAACATGCTTGTCTCTATAGCACCTGGGATAGGAGTTGTAAGTTTTAACATTGCAAGGAAATGTTTTGGTTTTGTTTTGCTTTTCTTTTCTTCTTCTAATCGTTTCTTTTTCCTTATTCGGTCCCGTTGTGGAGTTAGCGCAAGCAGGGCCGGGTGCGGGGCTGGTGGGAGCAGGGGCTGGGCGAGCGGATTTCCAGCTTGGGGATCTCCTTTGTACCGGGGTCTTCTCCGCCTGGTGCAGATTCCGCTCCCCCTTCTCTAAAGAGCAGACGGACTGGAAGAAGCACTCCTTCCTGGGGTTGGCCCCCCCGGCGGGTGCTGGCCCCGAGTCAGGATTGCTCACGGCCTGACCTCTGTACAGAGCTTGGTTGGCCTTAAACAAAAGGTACCTAGCTGGACGGGAGGGGGAGAGTGAGGAAGGCAGGAAAGAGGGTCGTTACTATCTTCATTTTTTTTTCCTTTCTTTTTATTTTGGTTAAGAGAAAAAAGAAAAAAAAAAAAAAACAATCAATTTGCAGCTGACAGCCTTGAGAAGGCCTTTTTTTACTCTCTCTGTGTTTCCCCTATTTTTCTCTTCTCCTCATGTCATTGTGTTCCGCATCAAACCCCCTTAACATCCCTCAGAGCTACGAGAAGGTTGGTGTGGTTTTTTTCTTTTTTACTTTCTTTACCCACATTTTTACATTCTTAAGAGAAAAAAAATGAAAAAAAAATTATTAAAAAAAAAAAAAAAAAGAGAAAAGCAAGGAATCTTTAAGATGAGCGAGACCCGCCCGTTCCCGGGTCTCGCAGAGATGAGTTGAGTTGCATTGTGGGCCTCTCTATGCATCCTTTGGTAATGTTGCTGAGTTCTTGCACTTTTTTGTCGTCATGGTTACCTTGCCGTTTGGACATTGGGCCTGATGCATGATAGGAGAATGTAACAATCTTCTTTGCATGCCACTTTTTAAATTAATTACGAATTATTTTTTCTCTATATAAATATGTATAGTTTCGGTTTGGTTTTTTTCTTTTTTTTACAATTCTGGTTTATTTGAAGTGGACTTACTCTTCTTTTCTCAATATTTTGTTCCGTTGGATTTTTTGCTTTCTCTTGATTTCCTGTTTCAGTTTCGATTGGTTATGCTGTGCTGTAGTTTATTCCAAACGCATTGTGAGAAGCCAGTGTTCCTGCCCACCCGGTGGTAACTGAACTCCTCAATCCCTCCAGGAGGAAAGGAGTCACACAGCTCTAACGCCTGTCCATGGAAGCCCTGCTATTTGGGACAAGCCTTTGTTTTGGGGGGAGGGAGGGATCTGGGAAGTGGAAAAGATGGTGAGAAGCCAGGGTGTCGTTTCAAAAGTTAGAGCAGACCCTGGATGACGTTATTACTTAGGTATTTCTTGGAGGTGTGGCTCTTGTTCCACATCCTGCACGCAAAGAAAAACCCTGATCCCTGCTCCGAAGGGCTTCCCCAGCCATACGGAACTCGCTCACCGGTAACCAGCCATTCCCCTCCAGTAAGACGCTGCGTACAGGAGCTAAGCTGCTGTCAGCCCAGGATGGGTAGGGGCAGAAAGCTTCCTGCTGTGTTACTGAATCGCACGCAGTTGCCTTTCCTTGAGCACCCACGTGTGCGTGGAGAGCCCCAGCATCAGGCAGTGCCTGGTCCCATCAGCGGAGCTTGGCGGTTCCCTTGGAGGAGGGTGATGCCCCGTCCTTGCAGTGTCGGAGGCGAAGGGCAGCCAGCCAGCTGCCTTCGGCAGAAGCTTAGCTGGATCTCACTGCTCTGCCTCTCCCCGTTTACCCGCTTTCTTCCCTATCGTTGACCCATTACTGCCTGGCTGCGGGCACCTTGCGAACCAGCCAGGTCCAGAGAAGGTAGAGCCCTCCTTTCTAAGGAGCGTGGAAAGAGAAATTCAGCAGTGGTAGACACTGAGAGAGGCTGCTGGGACACATCTGGCAGCTGCATCTCTGTTGTAAACAGCAGCAAGAAATCTGACAAATTACATTCTAGCTGAAGATGCCTCTTTTCCCTCTTCTCATCTCCCTGTTTATCCCCATGAAGCTTCTGTTGCCTCCCATGTGTGCATCCTGAGCGGGTGAACCACATGGGATAGTAAACAGGTGGGGGTTTTGCGGTGTCTAGTCGTACTATTGGTGCTTGGTGCTTTTGCCCTTTGCAGAATTGAATGCCCTTCCTTTCCCTGTTGATGCATTTCCCTCTGCCCATCAGTCCTCACTTCTCAATAATCTACCAAAGGAGTGGCTTTCCTAGTGTACAGGTATTAAAGCTGTGTGAATTTTGAGAAATCCAGTGCAGTATTGACACAGTATCTGTCTCTCTCTTTCTCTATCTCTCTCTTTCTCTCTGTCTGTCTTTCTCTTTTTCTTAAAATGCTGAGATTTCAGTGCTCGGACCCTCAGTGCTGGTATTCTCCCCTCCCCTCCCCTCTCCCCGTAGATACAAGGGTACCACTCCGAAATGCTGCACTGTTGATAATGTCTTTCTGAGGCAGCCAGCTGTGGCTCTTCTAACTTTGATGCCAACAATAGCCAAAAGACATCCCCAGGCCCCAGTGCTCTATTTAAAGAAAAAGAAAAAGGAAAAAAAAAAGAGGAAAAAAAAGGTTTGTTCTATTTAAAAAGAGCAAGAGAGAAGGAATAGTGTTTGAAATGAGGTGTTCCCATCCCACCTCCCTCCTGCCTAGGACTAAAAGGTGATAATCACTACTAATTACAGGATTTTCCTTCGTGAATAGGAGTTTGAGTTTCAGGATTTAGGTGCAATTAAAAAGGGATTTATATACCATTTTTTAATTTGTTTATTTTATCTTTTATAAAGTATTTCTAACATGTCCAAACTGCGCTGCTGCTGCTAGAATCTTGCGTGATCTGAGAAGGTTTAAAGATTACATGCTTCCTTAAGAGCCAATAAAAATAATTATAATATCAACAACAATAAACTAAAGCTAAATTGGCTATAGCCATGATAGGCTGGAATGACACTGGGCGAGCAAACAGAGACTTGATGCCTGGCTAAAAGAGCTCACATGGTTTGCTCAAAGTTATGGGCATGGTCTTGAAATGATTGGTTAAGGGTTTGCCTTGTGTATTACTGCAGATCAGATCGTGCCACGGTCCAAAATTAAGGAGAGTCTGCTAACAGGGAATTTTGGAGGTCAAGATGGAGAAGCATCTTCACGGAGACCCACAAAAGCAGATCAGAAGTAGGCGAGAGGA